CGTCTCTTCTTCTCCTTATAAAATGTCTTTGTATAAGGCAGAATTCCATGCCATCTTTCAAATAGAATGTCATGTTCTGCCAGTTTTATCAAACATACTTTTTTTCCTTTTTATATTATAGAATAAATGCAGTAAAACTATTTTGATGAAGTAATGTCATTCTATTACCAGGTACAGAGAAATATATTTCATATAGACATCCTTTTTATTTAGTAGTTAATAATATCAGGAAAATGAAATCTGCAAAGACAACACCTTGCTACCTGATTATTTACTGCATGAGAACAATGCTTGGTCAATGTCTGGCCCTTGGCTGAACTGGATTTTCTAGTTATTAATGCAACAGGTACTGCAAAATGAGGTCTGTGAACTGAAGGCCAATTTTAGTGCAGAGGATAAAATGTGAAGCAATAGATCGCTCAAGAGAGGACATGGTATATGGGGATACAGTGTCCCTGCAAGCGACAGATGAATATTGCTGAGCAAGTGCTCTTCCACAGCACCCAGACTATTAATCCATTCCAAACTCTGAGCTCTAAATTGAAGCAGAAAAAGAACAGCAGAATGACAGTGCACCCATGACCTAGAGAAGAAATGTCCTGGGAGACAACTACATGAGTAATACATTTATTTTTCTGTTTGTTTCTACTTGCTTCCATTTCTTTATAGGGATTTGAAATGCCTGGGTGGAAGGACTTGAGTTAAAAATGCAGATGTGAGTGTGCATTCAATTTCAGGAGGGTAATTGGATGCCACAATATTCCTGTATAGACATAAAAGTCCCCTTATCTCTCTCTCTCTCTTTCTCTCTCTCTCTCTCTCTCTCTCTCTCTCTCTCTCTCTCTCATTAGGAAAAGGTACAGTTTATGTTCAAATAGCCCTGGCCCTCTCCCAGCTGGTGGGATTTTGGGTGAAATTAGGCAAAGATGCCAGGGTCTCTACCGCTGATTGCTGCTTAGTTTTTACGTGAGATTGTTTACTTTTTGTTCAATTTCTCCTGGTCATCATAGGCATAAGTTGGCATATATATTTGTTGCCTGAGTATGACATGAAATGTCCCAGTGGTATATTCTCAGACAAAATAACTGACAGTGATTTAATATGGAGTTTCACATATCAGATTCACTATAAATGTTTGTCCATCCATCCACCCATCCATCCATCCATCCATCAGTCCTTTTATACACTCATGAATATTAGTTGAAGTTATACTGTGTCAGTAGCAGTTCTAGACACAGTTCTAGATATCAAATTAAATATTTTTTAAAGATTTATTTATTTATTTATACAAGAACCGGGGTACAGTCAGAAGCGCAGTAGGGTGAGAGAATTCACCAGATCCAGAGCGGGGTACAGAACAGGCAGACTGATGAAATACACTGCTGAGCGTAGCAGTAGGCACAGCAGGAGAGATCTGCATGCCATGTGGGACCCTCGCTGGTGGCCTGGGATCGAACTGGCGCTACAGAGGCTGCGGGCAGCTTCACAGCCCAGTGCTCAACCGCCGCGCCATGAGGGGAAGTCGTAAATACTTTCTTTCCAACACCTAAATTGCATGGAGAAGTGAGACATGTGGAAAAGTGATTATAAACCTGAGATTCATGCCATAACCCAGCCACATAAAGATAGAGTTGGCAAAGAGGAGGTAGTGTCAGTTGTGTGTGCAAGAGATTGAACAGGCTACAGAAAATTTCATGATTAAGATACTAGGTTAAGTCTTAGAAATCAAACTCACTGAGTTCAAATTCTGGTTCTGCCACTTTCAAGCTAAATAAACTTCACAGATCATTTTGCTAAGCTTGAATGATCTCCAAAAAATACAGGACTAGCAAGTGCCTCACTAAAATCTTGTGATTGTTAAATAAGACAGTGTGGATAGAGTTGGCATAGAGCTTGGTGAGTAGAATTTACTCAGTAAATGTTAGCTATTGTTATTATTTTGCTATCATTATTTTTGAAAAGAATAAAGCTTCCCAATGGATGTATTTCCTCTGAGACTGGAAGGGGTAGTTGTGGTTAGTAGTGATGGGAAGGTAATGATGATGGAAGAAGTGGACAGGACTTTTCAGGAGAGGAAACAGAATATGTAATGGGCTATGGGCCTCAAAAAATATCTATTTTTACATATCTGCATGTTTAATCTGAGTTTCTCCATCCAGGTATTTCAAATCCCTATAAAATGGATGCCAATTTCTTAAGGAAGTAATAGAACTAAATAAGATAAAGGGAATATGATGGTATATTTTATGTGTCAATTTGAGTAGGCTATGGTATCCAGTGTCAGGTCAAACACCAGTCCAAATGTTGCTGGGGAGGTACTTATAAAATGTGCAGACTTTGAAAAAAGTAGATTATTTTCTGTAATGTAACTGGATCTCATTCAACAAGATGAAAAGCTTAAGAACAGAGACTAAAGAAAAAGTAAGTGGCAGTCTGTCTCAAGAAAACATAGAAATCCTGTTTGAGTTTCCAGAATGCAGATTTAAAACTCAAGAATGTTAGGTCAATTCTTTCCTGGTTTTCTAACTTGCTACCCTGCTCTACAGATTTCAGTCTTGACAGTTCCTTAAGAGTCAATTCCTGAAAGCCTGTTCTCTCTCTGTTTCTGTCTCTCTCTCTATATATATGTGATACACTCACCCCCTATTGGTTCCCATTACCATGAAAACCTTGACTAAATGAGAAATAAAGCACTTGGCACATCTCCAAGCACACAGAACTCCATTAATATGAACAACTACTATTATTAAACCGTCTGGACCCTAGATCCTCAGTTATATAATAAGGGTGTTGAATCAGTAATCTCTGGGGTATTATCTGATCTATACTCAGAAAACTTAATGTAGAGTTCTGTATTACAAAAGCTATTCATATTGGGAGGAAAAACAAATTAAAGAGCTTAAATCTGTTTCTATTGATTTTTCTGACTCGATGGTGGTACTATTTATGGACTACTACTGATCTTAAGTTTCCAGAGGTGCTTAAACGTATATTCAATGTGTTCTTGATAAGTTGAAATGAGAGAGATTTTATAATGTCCCCAAAGATTTTCACATTCAAGAGAGCCATTGCTCTTATATTTTTTATATCATAGGCTAGGAATTGTTGGTCCTGGGGGGAAATTCAGATAAAGAGGCTGGGCAGGAAGTCTCCCATTCTGGGAAACTCAGTGCTGTGTGCTAATAGATTTCACAGGGGAAAAGTGTTTTGGGAGATGGGAGTTAGGAAAGTAAAGGCAGTGTCTCAGTTTATAGACTTGCTTTTGTTTTGTTTATTTGATTTACTTTTATTGGTTTTTCTCCAAAAAGAAAACAAAATAATACATTTGTTTTTGGAAATAATGTGAATCTTCATTTATCAGAGATCCCCCCGAGGATCTAGTCTCTTATTTTACCTTTTTTATGCTTTAGTTTTATTAATAGAATTAATAGTAATAGGATTACTTCCTGATATTTGTTACTTTGTTATTTTTTTAATTCCTAATTACATACTAAGTTGATGAGAGCAGGTATTTTGTCTGCTGTATTCAGTCCGTTGACAGTTTAGAACTATAGGGCCTCCCCTGGTGGTGCAGGCGGTTGAGCGCAGTGCTGTGAAGCTGTCTGCAGCCTCTGCAGTGTGGGTTCGATCCCAGCCGGCCAGGGAGCAACCCACATGGCCAGCAGACCTCTCCTGTCTCGCCTGCTGATCCCCTCAGCAGTGTATTTCATCAGTCTGCCTGTTCTGTTCCCTGCTCTGTCTCTGGTGAATCCTCTCACCCTCCCACATCAGTTCTTGTATAAATAAATAAAGATTAAAAAAAAAGTTTATAGCTATATTGAGTATCTAGTAGTTGTTAATAGTTACAGTTATTCAATACAAAAATTCACGTTTCCTGTTTTTGCCACATTAACAATAATGTTGTCATGCACTTAAGGTCACCATCTTGATTGCATTCTTTTTCTTTGCAAGCCTGAGATTTTGGTGGAGAACATGGCATATCTGTTTCATTTTCCTTCAATAAAGACTTAGGTACTTCTGGAAGAAATATCTTTGAGAAGTGATAAGTGGCTTTATTTCCAGGCATATGCTATGGTTATAATAAAGTTGCTTCTGTTGTGTCTTCTTGCTATGAGAACAACAATCTTACTAATCACAAACTGAAGTAACTGAACAGTTATAAGGTTTGTAATCAGGTGATGTAGATTCTCGTCATATCCACATTCTGGTCACATATATTAAAGGTAAGCCTTTAATATATCTCTCATTGTCTCCATTTTTCCACATACTTTGTGAGTATGAAATGAGATAGGTGGGGAGAAATTCAGCAAATGATAAAACATGACATGAGTGTTCATTAACCTGTTCAGAAACAAAGATTTCAAAAGGAAAGGGAAAATTAAAATTTCTGAATACTCATTATGTACTTACAGGTTATTTAACTTAGTCCTTATATCAGTCTTGCAAGTTTTGTATTATTAACTCCATTTTAAAGCTGAGGAAACAAAAACTCAGTGATATACATAGGTTTTCCAAGGTCATAATATGTGTTTGGAATTGCAACTTCTTGCAGAGAATCTTCTATTAGACTGTCAACCTTGGGTGGGGTTTTTCTGTCCTCTGTACCTATCAGTGTGTGAAAACTGAAGTTCAAGTTCACTTGCAGCAAATGTGCTCAGTTCTTTACTGACTGTACTTCCTTTAGTTTTTGTGAATCTGGGTATAACTTGCTAACTCATCAATGAGTTTTTAAAAGTGCATTTATCCAAGCACATTTAATCCAGCACTGCTAATTATTTTCAGTGGAAAGTGTTGGTCAAGTAACCTCTTCCCTCATGTTGTTGGAAATGTTCTTCTCCTTTTCATCATTTTCTAAGTTCTGTTTGACTTTATAAAAGTATGTAACTTGGAGTCGGGAAATAGGATAGTATGCATGTTGTCTTTTAAGAAATTTTGAAAGGGCTATATCACAGACCAAATATCCAATATACAAAGTATATTCTCTTTCTTTTCTTTTTCAGAGGGTGTTAAAAGAGGATGTCTAAGACTTCTGGAATTCACTAAAATTTCTACAGCAGAATATGCTGGCCTTGAAGAAGTCTAACTTCTTTATTTTAGTAAGTATATATTCTGGTATTTTGAAAATTCTAGAATACACACTGACCTAAATAGGAATCCAAACTATTATTCTTTCCAAACACAGAAGGATGGGCTAATGATGACATAGAGTCTTTTAAACTTATGATTTCTGGTTTACTCTTGATGTGATACTTTCTCTTTCTCCATTCCAGCTTTCACATTAAATATCCAATTTTAAATTCTATTGTCTAATTGATTTAATGATTAAGAAAATGTTCCTGATATTCAACCTAAATTTTTCTTTCTAATTTATTCCCATTACTCTTGGTTAAATCTTGAATAACTAGGATTGATGAGGCCCTGCAAACTAATTAATTGATCGCTAATGCGTCATGGTATTTTCCCATCCCTCAGTGAATTCTCTTAGCTTTAGAAACACTTTTAACAGTAAACTTCATTTTAAAGCTCTTTGTAGTTATTTCTGGTTGTTTTTCATGGACAAGTTAAGTTTTACATATTCTGCAAAGATGTCACATGCTGACATAAACTAATAAAAGCTTCAGTTTTTACTTAGCCAGTTTCGCTTGGGTTTATGCAGTAAGTTTATCTTATATGCAAAAAAAACAAAAAACAAAAAAAACCCGGCTTTTTAAACCTAAGTTTCTCTCAGGTGACCACGTTATGCATGATAACTACGGGAACATAAAATGACTCCCTGAGCAAGCTGCCCACTCCTCTGTGCAAAGCTTGTTCAGTTGTTTCTTTCTCTGACATTTTCCTATGCTTTGCATTGTATTAGGGCACAACCCTGCTTGGTTTACTTTGTTGCTTTTTGTAGCCCTGATGTGATTAAATCTCCTTCAATGTGGATCAGACAGCATCCTCTGATCTAAGGACTGTCCAGGAAAATGCAGTAAGAGCTTCGTTAAGGACAAAGAATTCTCTTATTATCCAGAAGAGTGAGAGTAACTTGGTTTAAAAATTAGGAAAGACTTCCTAAAGGATGTGGGTCTGTCCTGAATCTAGATAGTGCAGTGGGATTTAGGCAAATGCAAAAAGTGAAGACTGGCATTGTAAACAGAGGGCACTGACTGTGGAAATTCACCAAGTCTAGGACTGTTTGAGAAATTGAAGGTGGTGGAACAAAGGCTCTGTGGGTGAGGCAGGCAGGATCAAGTGCCAGAGTGAGAGCCCCACAAATTATAACTTGTGCATCCTAATTAGAACTTAGATTTTATTTTGAATAAAGTGGGGGTTCATCATGGGGGATGCCATAAAATTTCCTCACTTGCTAATGATGATAAAGAAGATTTTACATTCTTATTGAAAAGGAGTGGGTTGAGTGGAAGAAAAAAAAAAACATTGGATCTTTTATTTACTCCATATTTGGTTTGCAAGTTGTTGCAAGTTCCACATCCAAACCACTGCTTTACTTTTCTCTGTTAGATATGCTTTATTTTTTAAAGATTTATTTATTTATACAAGAGCTGGCATACAGGTCAGAGGTGCAGGAGGGTGAGAGAAATCAGCAGAGAGAGTGGGGAACAGAACAGGCAGACTGACGAAATACACTGCTGAGGGGAGCAGTGGGTGCAGCAGGAGAGGTCTGTCGCACCATGTGGGACCCTCGCTGGCGGCCAGAGATTGAACCGGTGCTGCAGAGGCTGCAGACAGCTCCACAGTGCTGCACTCAACACACTGCACCACCGGGGAGGCCCTGTTAAGATATGTTTAATATCCTATTAAAGAGAAAATCTCTTGTGGTAACTCCAGTTCTTCACTCCCTTCCCACCAGTGCCCCCTAAAAATATGACCTGACTTGGGAAAAAAACAAATTTGCAGAACAAAGCAGTGTGGGTTTGACAGTTCTGGTATGTACAACTCTTAGATACTTAGCTGACCTGGAGGGCCTGTTTGACATTGTTCATGACAACAGTCTGACAGACAGGTTGAAACGCATACCCCTCTCTTATAAGGAAAGGAATGGAGCAAGAAGGGGAAACTTTAGATTTTAAATTTGAATATTGTTCATGGTAGGGTGGAAGTGATGTGTTTTTGCTGATTTTTCAATTTCTTTTTTCATTTACTTTATTAACCTCTAGAAGAATGACTTTCTTTGTTATTTTAATATCATATGGTTGGCATTGAAGTGGTCATTTTCATACCCTTCTAGGGTGTTAAGCATTCTATCTTTATTCTGTTGAGATCTGGGAAATGTTGTCTTGTAAGTGGCTTATCTTAGTAATATATTAAAACATGACTGTGGCATTTATAAAATTACCTCAGAGCAGGGCCCAAAGGACTCTTAAGGTGTTCATCTTTCCCTGCTAATGAGCAGTGTGCAGAAAGAGAGGAGGGTCAAGGTTATTCAATCCTGTTTTGTGTGTAGCTTTTGTTGGCTAATGTGGGATTTACCTTGAAATGCTCAGAATTTATTGGCTGGTATTAATAAAAGAAAATAGTTTTTTTCCCCCCCTTCTGGGAGCTCTGTTAGAATCACTGTAGGTTCTTTATGTGCTGTTAATTTAGTTTTGGATTAGAGGGTCACAGATGCTCCACATCTTCTTTTCCTTCAGCTCTTCCTGACTGCCAACTCTGATATGCTGGGGAGAAAATTAAGGAAGTATTCAAGGAGGGAAAAGGTGGCAAATGAAAGAGGGCCGAGGGAGGAGAGAGAAGGTGGGAGGAAAAACTCCAGGATGGGTGGGGGAAAAGGAGAAGCAAGGAAATGGGCAAGAAGAAAAAAGAAAATGAGAAGACATTTTTCTCCTCATCTTTCAGCATTTCAGTTTACTAGACACATATTCGTGGAGCAGTGGCATGGGAACAGAGCAGAATAACCAGCAGCTTACTGGTTACTAAGCAAGAAAATTCAAACTAACTCATGGTCTCTGAAACAGCTTTAGACAGCAGCAGTAAAGAAAAGTAATATGACTAAAATACATTGGACATGTGGTGGTAACTTTCATTTGTATAAAGGTAAAATGCACTCATGATTTATGTACTTTTTGATTAGCACCTGGAGATCTATATGTGTGCATGCATAGGCAGAGTTTATTTATAACTTTGTTTTGGCAGTCATCTGACATCTAAACCTCCTTCTGAAATATTGCATAAGGTCAAAGAAACAATTCTAAAGTTGGCAGTAATAGAAATTAAAAGGTAAAGGAAATGGAGGAAGGCAGTTAAACAGAGAGACATCAAATTTTATTTTAATTTTCAGCCCGAAGTTTAACACAAAAGATAAATCTCTCCCGACAGGATAGGCTAAGGAATATATCATATCAACTTGCAAGTTAACTGAGTTTTTTTGAGACAGATATCACCTCAGTAACTGCTCCAAATGCATTTACTTTATTTTAAAGGTTGTTCTTTCCATTATTAATGCCACACTGAATCACAGAGTCATTTATGATGAAATGTGCTACTCTAAAAATCCTGTAAATGTATCTGCAATGCTTGCTGATGTTTCAGCTCATCCTAAAATATACTGTAAATTTTTGGAAGATGTTTTTATCTTACTGTATGCATATTCTCCACATACTGTTAGAATCCAATTTATTAACTCTTGGAAGTTGAAAGCTGTGCTTGAATAAAGTGATACCAATATTTGTCAGGATTGGCTCAAATTATGTATTTTATAAGATAACAGCACAATCCTGGACTTTGAATGTCTTATATCAGTAATGATTCTGCTGAGGGTAGGGTGGACAGGTTTTAAGGAGCTGCAGAAGGGATTTCTTTGTTCAGGAAGCATTTCTGTGGTGGTGCTCAGTGTTCCCTCTAAAATTGGGAAATTTTATTTAAAGAAAGAAGTAGGTTTTAATCAGCCCTGTATGTAATTTTAAAACTTTCTCAACTGTAAAGTTGGAGGGGAAATGGCATAGGAAACCTCAATTGAGATTCTGAAGACCAGCATTGAACAACCATTTCTTTTTTTCTCTTACTGGCTGGAAAGTTTAAAACTGCTTAATTAACCTCTCTGAGACTTGCTTGCCTCAAGTATAAAACAGAGAAGCTGAAAGTGCTGTTTGTTTGTTTGTTTTATTCTGAAATTTTAGCCTAGACTAGGCATCTTTCTAGACCAGCGAGGCTTTTCAGGACTTTCAGAACAATGAGAGAAATAAAAGGTTATTTGATGAGATGCATGGGCTTATAATGCAAAGGCCATTTAAGCGAAACAAAGGAGGAGAAGTATAATCTAATTTGCACTTGGACATCTTTAAAAAGCCTTCATCTGTCAATTTTCTCCTGAATAAGCAGCAACAACTTCCTTTAAACTAAAGGAAGAAATATTTTTCAAACAAAATAAAGCAGTAGAAGGTGTTACTCTACGTTTTCACTTTTCTACTCCCCTTTCAAAACTTGCTCTCAGGAAAGGACATCATAATTTCACTGTAGGTGCTGATTTTAAATGACTGATAAGTCTTCAGTTATTTTTCTTTACAGCACAGTAATGAAATTTGATCACTGACAGCAATAAACTGAGAGGGATCTGATTGGGATGGGACATGGATACTTCTATTAAACCTCTCTCAAATTGGCCCTGTATGCATTCTTACTATCCTCATCACTAATGTCTTCCTCCTCTCGCTGATCAGGTAAAAACAAATCTGATCTCTACTCAAGCATTAGTTGAAAACTTCACATGACTTGGCCTTTACGCTTTCAGAGTAAGAAGGCCAAGCTTTCATTATTCAAGTGTTTATGGAGGATCCATTATTTCCAGGTATGGTCTGGGCCCTGGTGATTACGGCAATGAGTGAGACACAGCTCCTGACATGGTAAGTTTTAGTATTGTGACATATGCCTCTTCTATATCTTGTACTAGCAGAAAAGGAATCAGCCATAAGGGAAATGTTCAGGATTTCCTGGATGAGTCTTTGCCATCTTGGTTTTCTCATATTATTTTCAGAGATAATTTTTTAATAAGAAGTATAAAATATTGTCTATAAAATGTAAGTAATGATATAAATCTTATTTCATTGTCATTTTTCTTCATGTGTATTTCAAAGAACAGATATTCCTAAAAGAAATGATGTTATATCAAACCATTCTATCATGTGTGTGTACCACATCTTCCTGGTCCACTCATCTGTGTTTGGGCACTTTGAATGTTTCCATAGCCTGGCTATGTAGATAATACTGCAGTGAACATGGGAGTGCATGCTCCCTTTGAGTTAGTGTTTTTGTATTTTTTAGGTATATACCTAGGAGTGGAATTGCTGGGTCATAAGACAGATACATTTGTAATCCTTCGAGAAACTTCCATACTGTTTTCTCCATAGGTGCTGATTTTTTTTTTTTTTTTTTTTTGCTGTTGTGATTTATGTTGAACTTAAACCAAGGTACACAGAAGTGGCTGTATTAGAAATCTCAAAAAAGGTAGACAAATATTCCATATGCAAAGGAAAACACAAAACAGACCTCATCTAGGATATTTTCAAAACCCACAGCCCACAGTCTTTGTTACTGCAATATTTTGGTTCTGTTTCAAACAATTTCTCCCACTTTGTATAATCATGGCACTGAATAAATGTTCAACATTAAAACAGTTACTGCTTTTCAGCTCCAGGATGGCTGTATTTTAGAACTGAGGAAAGCATGTGCCTCCTGGATGAAAGGTGTATTATAAATGCAACTTATTACCATTTTAGGCAGAATTCCCAGACTGGCATTTAGCAATTAAAAAAGCAAAGCTAAACAAGCCCAGGAGATCGGCATTCTCTTTTCTTCCAACCCAAGATGCTCAGTTATTGTGGACAAAGAACTCGAAGGCCCCACCGTCCTTTGTTGACTCTCTTTGGAGTCGCTAAAGCAGTGCAGGCAGGAAATAAGAGAATTATTTTTTTGTTTCCATTAATCAATGGAGAGTCTAAATGAAGAGGTACAAATGGCTCTTTCAAGAATTTGTCAAAGCAGAATTCACTTAGAAAAGATTTACTGATTATTTTCCCTCTCAATTGAATAATTTCTCTTGATATTTCTAGACCTTTATCTTCTCTTCAAAGAGTACTCTATCCTGAGCTTAGTTTTGCAAGGTGCATGGATGAGTGGGAGATTACCTTCATAGGAAAATGCAGATTTAGAAAGATATACTTCTGGGATTGCATGGTTTAGAGAAATAGACATTTACCTAACTCAAAGAAAAGAAACCCGACATTTTCAAAGCTTCATGTAATGGTAATTCTTGAGTGATGGATGAAAAATACTTTCCTCAGAGATATAGATTCTTCTCTGTTTGGATTCAGGACTTTGCTATGAGACTAAGATTTCCCCAAAACGTTAGCTTTAAATATTCAGTATTGATTTCTGCCTATTTGCTCTCCCAAGTTCAAGGTTATGCACTCTTTGACTAGCTTGTAAGGTATCTGTACTTACAAGGAAATGTGAGGTCTCCTTTCTAGGGACTGCTATAATCTTCTTTCTCATTCTGTCAATATAATGAATCTGGGAACTCTAACCTTAAGGCCAAGTAATTTATCATTACTGCCTTGTATTGAGGAAAACACAACTACAGGAGATGAAAATTTTTTTGTTATTGAAACAAGTGCATTTATATTTGAAGTATATGAATGTAAATTTCACTAGAACACATTTTAAAATCCTTTATCTATAAATTTTCTTGTGAATAAGCAAAAACAAAAAGGAGAGGCCTCCCCTGTGGTGCAGTTGGTTGCGTGCAGGGCTGTGAAGCTGTCTGCAGCCCTGCAGCCTCTGCAGCATGAGTTTGATCCCCTGCCAGGGAGATACCCACATGGTGCAGCAGACTTCTCTTGTCTTGCCTGCGGCTCCCCTCAGTAGTGTATTTCGGCCATTCTGCCTGTTCTCTTCCCTGCTCTGTCTCTGGTGAAACCTCTCACCCTCCCGCACATCTGGCCTGTACCCCGGTTCTTGTATAAATAAATAAATCTTAAAAAAATTTAAAAAAAAAGCAAAGGAAGCAACAACAGCTTCCTTTAAACTCAAGGAAGAGATATTTTTAAAATGAAGACATTTATCTTTTAAGCATTTTTTGGTTATTTATTTGGTATTACACATGTAAATGTTTTAATTCTTCCTTAAGTCTCAAACTCACGAGCTTCACTGGATGCTTTTGCCGGAGGGCAGCAACCATTTAATTTGTGTGCTGAAAGTCATGTTGGAGTGTTACATACAGAGAGAAAGACACACACCACCAATATTCAGTTACAGCTGTTTCAGGGTTAATACTTGTTATTGGTCTATTGCTTAAAGTCTTTGTGACAGTTAGATCAGATAGAAGAAGACAAAACCCTGAGCCTACATAGAACTATTTTGTATGGATCTTTGTTGATGGATACATAATTGATGCATTTGTCAGAAACTCATAGACCAGCACAAAGAATGTACCTAAATGTATACAAATCGAAATAAATCATTTAGGAGGCAAAAGAATCCCAGGATGGAATGCAGTATATGACAAAAGGGTTTAACTGCATCACAAACGAATCTGTAAGAATAAACCCAAGTATCAGTGTAGCACTGATTAGGAGCTTCTTAATTCTTCTGTCATCAAACAGATGGCCCAGAACAGCTCTAGAAGCCCTCAATAATTTGTCCACATGTTGTGTCCCTTTCTTTCATTGTTTTTTACTGAATTGCAATGCATCAGCGAGGCTGGTGTCTTCACTTAGGTTTGATTTTCCCTTTGCTTGGAACACCTTCACTCTTCTGCACCTTTCCTAAATTCTGCCTACACTCCGTGGTAAAGTAGCTTTCATGAAAAAAGATCCCTGATTGGTAGTGTTAGCCCATTTTTGTGATGTAAATACTCCCATTATGGTTGATTTTGTGTTTCTAAGAATTGAATAACCAACTGAAAATATTACTGAGCATTTAATAACTGGCTCTTAAAGATATAAGCATGTACCACATCCTTTCAGACAGGCTCAGTTCCCTTAAATTCATACTCTGTGGTAATTCCATTTCTCAAGAACCTTTGAAGAAAATTCATTGACTAGTTCATTCACTGGAAGCTAGGAAGCAGTCCTGGTGTCCAGGATAGCTAGGTTTGAATAATGACTTTGCTACTTGTTAAACATGTAAATTTGAGAAAGATAAAATTTCAGACTCAATTTCCTTATCTGTAAAATGAAAATAATAATATCTTGTCTGCTTTCCTTCCAGAACTGATAGTGACTATACAGTGATATGACCTGAGAATATTTTGAGGAAAATGCTATGTAAACACAGGATTTTATTAGTACTATTGATATGGCATTCTATAGAAGGCAAATATAGTAAATGAATATTTCTTTCGCATTTCCCCCAAGTTTAGCATGAGATCTTTGACTTTTTCAACAAATGTGTTCTAATTTCCTACTATATCTTAGATTCTGTTTTAAGTTTTCTTTTAAGTTAAACAGAATTTATGGAGCAATATTAGCTAGAGGATTTGTATAAAGATGAATGAGTGAGGTTCTTGGTGGAAGTCATTCAATAACTGCAAAGTCAGAATTTCAGGAAAAGCTATGCAATATGAACAAGAAGTAAAGAGGTTAGGGACATCATTTTGAGAGTTAGAGTCATTTTAGTTTAAAGTAGGCTTTTAAACCAAGTATGCAACAGAGTTAAAGAGCTTAATGCACTTCTTCTGAAGAAGTTTTCTAGCATGGTGATTATGCATGTGGCCACAGGAGTTGGTCAGATGGATTTTGCATCCCATTTATGTCTATAATTGGCAATGTGGCCTTCATCAAGTTACTTAACTCTTTGAACTTCTGTTTTGTTATCTCTTTGACACAGTAATTATCTTAATATGATATTTGTGAGGATAAATATTATAATGCAAATAAAAATAGTTAGAGGATTATCTTGCACAAGGTAAGTACTCAATAATATTCTTGAAAGTTCCATATGAATTGTGTGTTCTTTGTTCCAAGTACTATTTTGAATGTTCCAGCCTAGTTCTAATCTTCAAAAAGCCAGTAAGTTAAAAGGATACTTCTTTCTACTGTGTGTTTGTTTAAGGTATGAATCCCTTCTCTGGAATTAAAGGTACCCAACAAGTGCAGTATCAGTGACCTACCTGACTTCTGTGACTTCAGGCAAATCAGTTTGGCTTTCTATGTAATAGCTACTCTCACTCGAAGGTAGTATAGAACTAAGTAGCCAGTGGAATTGCAAAGTCATGATTCAATTTAATGTAAAAATGACAATACCCCAGTAAAATGCTTCAGCTAAGTCAGGACTATATGAGCCAACAGATAGATGCAGTATTTTTTGAGCAGAAGTCTGTATCACAATCACCTAGGCAACTTTTAAAATGTGTTTTAAAATGAAAGTTAAGCTATTCTCATTTTCATAGATTCTGAATCGGTAGGTGTTGGGTGGCTCATTTATGAAAGAGGTCAAAGAATGTTAATATAACAGCAATCTAATATGAATCACACAGAAGTTTAATATACAGAATCGAGATGAATTATGCAGAAAGATTTTTCCTTGGTTTCTTCTCCCTTTTCATCTGGGTTCCAACCAGGAATCTATGTGAGTTACACATTCCTTAAGGCTGAATTGACTTGTTTATGTAATGGCCCTTTTTCTTCTCCAAGTAAAGAAATATCTTTCTCCTTATTCTGTATTTTTCTTTCTATCAAGGCAAACTTTTATATTAGACTGTATTAGTTATTGAATAGAGAGAATGTATGTTTTCAATTTTTGTTGTAAAATTCATGAAATCCAAAATATATTATGGGATTTTTTAAGTATATAGGTATTGGTCCTTATAAATAATATGTAAGAAATTAAAACATTTGGGCACATC